TTCCCTACCTGCTCTATCCCAGGCATCATCTTATAAACCTCAATCATGCCACCCCTCAGTCATCTTTTCTCCAAGCTAAATAGCCCTAAGCGCCTTAGCCTTTCCTCATAGGGAAAGTGTTCCAACCGTTTTATCATTCGAGTTGCCCTCTTCTGCACTTTTTCCAAAGCTATAATTTCTTTTTTAAGGTGTGGTGACCAGAACTGCACACAGTATTCCAAATGAGGTCTCACCATTGATTTATACAGGGGCATTATGATGTTGGCTGATCTGTTTTCAATACCCTTCCTAATAATCCCCAGCATAGCATTGGCCTTCTTTATTGCAGTCACACACTGTCTCGACATTTTCAGTGAGTTATATACTACAAGATCTCTCTCTTGATCAGTCTCTGCCAGTTCAGACCCCATCAGTGTGTATTTATAGTTAGGATTTTTGGCTCCAATGTGCATCACCTTGCACTTGGCCACATTGAACCCCATTTGCCATGTTGACGCCCACTTGCCCATCCTTGACAGATCCCTTTGGAGTGCCTCACAATCCTCCCTGGTTTTCACCACCCTGAACACCTTCGTATCATCCGCAAATTTAGCCACTTCACTGCTTACTCCCAACTCCCTGGTCAGTATCTGGATGGGAAGCAGCCAAGGAAGTCCAGGGTCGCTCCGCAGAGGCAGGCAAGGGCAAACCACCTCTGAATGTCTCTCGCCTTGAAAACCCCATGCAGTCACCATAACTCGGCTGTGACTTGACAGCCGTTGCTGGGTTGTGAGAGGTGTTATTCCAGCCGGACTCGGCCTTCCGAAGTCTTTGCTCCTTGAGCTCCGTGGTCCCGTTCAGAGGGGCCCGTCGGGCTTCTGGGATCTGAGCTGGAGCCCAGGGCTCTCGAGTTACTCCGTGCCGCTTCTCCACTTCTCCAGATGTTCGGAGTCCATTTTGTCTTGCGATCGGGCCCACCTCCCCCGCCCAGGCGCTTTTCCGCCTTGGCCGATGGCCACCGCTCCTAACAAGATCCAGATGACTAAATGGTGCGGGGAACAAAATAAAGGCCTCGTTAGTGCCGGCGTGCTGCACGGAGCATAGCTTGCTCTCTCAACATGGGTTAATAACTTCAGTGTGGCGAGGATCCCCCCACCCCCCATGCTTTTCTCTCTGCCTAAGCGCCATCAGTCGGTTGAGTTGTCTCCTTTTGCTCTTTTGGGGCACCGTGTCAGGCAGTAGAAAGGCCACGTCGGAGCGGCTGCAGGAGCGCCCCCTCCCACGGCTGGGCATGGCCTGCCCCTCCTAGCCTGGTGAGCGGCGCAGCGCCTCTCTTTGAAGAGTACAGAGCAGCCAGGACAGATTGGGTTGGCACGCGCAGAGACCCTGGAAAGTACGGCGAGCAGCCAGGAAATGCGCCCCGACAACTTTAGGATGGTGCGGATGCAACAGTCGGACGGCACAGGCAGAATCCGGCCCCCTGGGAATGCCACCTTTCACTTTTGAAAAGCCACCTTGAGGTGACAGTCAGCGTTGCAAAATAGTAAAGAGCCCAGTCGCACCTTTAAGAAGACTAACAAACTTAACTGTAGCATAAGCTTTCGAGAAACACAGCTCTCTTCGTCGGATGCATGGAGGGTATGAAGAAAATGGCCAGAGATAGAGAGGTGGGTAAGGGGAGCGGGGAGAGGATGCAGAAGGTGCCATGTGAATGCAAAGCAGTTGCAAAAGCCATGAAAAAGGTAGAATGCGCAATCCAGGCTGGGTGTGACCAGTGTTCCCTCTAAGCTGAGTTAGTGTGAGCTAGCTCACAGGTCTTTATCTTCCGGCTCACACATTTTTGTCTTAGCTCAGGAAGGGATGGCTCCAGACCAAACTAATTCATGCAGTAGCCAAATCGCTCACTCACAACTTTAATGCCAGTAGCTCACAGAGGAGAATTTTTGCTCACAAGACTCCACAGCTTAGAAGGAACATTGCGTGTGACCCCTTCCTTCCGTTGATGAACCTGCATGGACTACCTGAAAGGCAGTTACTTCTGGTAAGGCGATAACCACCCAGAGTCTCTATTCAGTCCAAGTCTGCCTGGGTCAAATTTACATATAAATTCCAATTCAGCCGCTTCCTGTTGGATTTTTGGTTTTGAAACGTTCCTGTTGAACGATGGTGACCGTTAGGTCCTTGACGGAATGTCCTAGTAGACTGAAGTGTTCTCCCACTGGTTTCTGGATATCGCCATTTTCGATGTCAGATCTGTGTCCATTTATCCTTTTGCGTAGAGGCTGGCTTGTCCTACGTACAGAGCAGAGGGGCATAGTTGGCCCAGGAGAGCCTATATCACACTGGGGGGTGAACAGCCGTAAGAGCCAGAGGTTGCGTAGTTGATGCCATAGTCAGCATTTTGAGTCTTAGGTGGACACAGCTTGGTGAAATCCCAGTTAAAGACCGAGGCTGCTCTTTTCCGGACCTGTTCGATTCGAGTCCGGTAGCACCGGAGAGACCAACAAGATCTCCTCTTCTTCAAAGGGAGCTTTGACTCTTAGCTTGTGCCCTGAAAATCTGGTTGGTCTCTCCGGTGCTCCTGGATTCGAATCTGGCTCTTCTTCAGACCAACATGGCTGCCCTCTGAAACTTGTTGGCCAGGCCTGCGCGCCTTGTGACACACACAGCTTGTAAGCCACCTGCCGACCCTGCGGGGTGGAATCCTAAAAACAACATCCGTGACAAAATTAACGAAGAGTCAATAAAGATAATGTTTACTGTAGTAATTTCGGAGCCAGTTTGGTGTAGTGGTTAAGTGTGCGGACTCTAAACTGCGGGTTTGATTCCCCACTCCTCCACTTGCACCTGGCTGGATGACCTTGGGCAAGCCATAGTTCTGATAAGGGCTGTTCTTGAAAAAAAGAGCAGTCTCTGTCAAGAGCTCTCTCAGCCCCACCCACCTCACAGGGTGTCTGTCTGTTGTGGGGAGGGGAAGGGAAAGGAGTTTGTAAGCCACTCTGAGACACCTTTGGGTTGTGAAGGGCTGGGTATAAATCCAATCTCTTCTTCTTCTATTATCGCTGACACGCTAACGAATACTGCACAATGAACAATTCGTTTCACAATATTTGCTTTATCTGAGCGTGCAGCAATCCCAATTTTTATCAATCACTACTTATCAACCCCTGAAGGAAACATTCCATGTTGACTCTCTAATAACAGAACCCAAGGTGTTTACAGTGTATTAGCTGGATTCTCAAAGCCAAAAGTGGGCATCCAAATTTGAGAATCCAGCTAATACATTGTGAAGACCTTGGGTTCTGTTATTAGAGAGTCAACATGGAATGTTTCCTTCAGGAGTTCATAAGTAGTGATTGATAAAAATTGGGATTGCTGCACGCTCAGATAAAGCAAATGTTGTGAAACGAACTGTTCATTGTGCAGTATTCGTTAGCGTGTGAGCGATAATAGAAGAAAATTTTCTACCGAAATTACTACAGTAAACATTTTTGCAACTTATCTTTATTGACTCTTCGTTAATTTTGTCACGGATGTTGTTTTTGGAATTCCACTTCCTCCCGTGATCTCGTTTCTGGCCCTGTGGGGTGGGCTGCCCACTGAAGGGTTCTGTTCCTTGCCCAGGAAGGACCTGAGAGGCCACAGAACGTGGCTCGACAGCTCTCAGGTTGTGTCGGCTTGCTCTTTTGCCCTTCCACCAAGATGCGCTGAAACCATACAGGCGAAATCAGCACGGGTGTCTTTTGTCCGCGCATGCGCTGTCTCTGCCTTCTCTCAACCAGCCCGGCAGTGATTCCTTCCTTCTTTTCCGTAGGCGCCAGACGGTCACCAGCACCCCCTGCTGGATCGAGCTCCATCTGAACGGCCCGCTGCAATGGCTGGACAAGGTCCTGACCCAAATGGGTTCCCCGAGCATCCGCTGCTCCAGCGTGTCTTAAGGGCACGTCCGTCGCTGAGGCCACGGCCGAGACTTTCGAACGGAGCGACCTCGTTCAGCTCCCTGGCTGAGGACTTCACCGCCGAGAACTGACTTGCTGTTATTTCGAAAGGGAAGACAATCCACGTGGCCCCAGAAACCCGGCAGTCGGGATGCTGTGGGGGTCGCAGTCTTCCGGGCTCAGGCCTGTCTTCTTTGGTGGAACTTTGCTCTGGCGCTGTGGACACGGACGGCGGCTTTACCGCAACCCCTCTGAGGCGGATCGTACCCGAAGCATCAACTCTCTTGGTCGTCACAATGCTTTGGATGGCGGTGGAAGACGTTTTGCCCAATAAGCAACTGGTTTATCAGGGGAAGGGTGCCTGGACCTTTGCCAGAGTCGGTGACCCTTTGGGCGTCCGCCTGTATCACGATTTGACGGCGGTCTCCTTCACTATGGTCCTCCTGCCTTGGGGTGGGGGTGGGAGGGGAGGCAGCAGCTCAGGAAACGGGTTAAAACACGTCACATTCCTTCCGCGTCCGCATCCCCTCCTGTTTGGCCAGCCTCTGCTGGACGACTTGCAGCAGGGCGAGAGAGATGCACCTCGGATTAAAACCCACAGCCGGTAGAGGTGGGGGCAGGGGGAAGAGCCGGAATTAAATTATTTCCTCGGGAGGAGGAATCTCTCGTTTCCGGCAGCCTGGAAAGCACAAACGCTGTGTCGTCGCCGCCACAGGGGCTTCAGCGACGGGAGGGATACGGAGCACCGGTGCGCAGACACCAAGCCCCCCCCCCCACCCACCCCCCCACCCCCCCCCTTCCGCTTGCTTCGATGTTGCTTCTGCACCCGGAGTCACTTGCGGAAGCGGGCGCTTGCCTCTCGATCAGTCCTCAGTCTCCATATCAGCTCCCGCGTTGTCCTCTTTAAAGTTCTGAAAACTCAGTCGGGGAGACCCTCAGGGTGGGGGGGTGGGGTGGGGGCTTCACCGGTCTTACTTTAGGGGGTCGCCAGAGGCTCAGCCAGATGGCAGGCAAGCCAGAAAGGGGTTACGAAAGAAAAGCCTGGGACGATTCCAGACGCGAGGGCGATTTGGGGTGCTCCTTCAGTTGACCTGCCAGGAAGAGCACCTCGGTCCCGTAACTCGGCGGGAGCGAATTGTTCCCTTTCCCAGGCCAACGGGTCAGGCTGGCGGGCGTTAGAGGTTAGAGGGGAAGGCATCAAAATGCGCTCTAGAAAAAGCCCATCGATACTTTTCATATGTAATGTTGGAGAGATACAGTGCTGCTGCAAATCCAGGCCAAGATTTTAGGTTACTGTACATCTTGGGTAAAAGGGCTTCATCAGTTTGAACCTCAATCTCAACCGAGCGCTGATGAACTAAAGATTTTGCTTTACTCAGACCCATTTCCAGAAGATTTGCTGGACATAACCCGATCATACCTAGCTGATCTATTATTCTGGCGGACCAGTCTGGATATCGGGTAGAAGCTAGCAGCGGGGGTGGGGTGGGGTGGCAATCCTGTAGGTTTCAGATGGATTCTCAACCGATAATGGATCGAAATTGTCCAGGTTTTCAGAAAGAAAAGCCTGGGACGATTCCAGATGCGAGGGCGAGTTGACCTGCCAGCAAGAGCACCTTGGTCCCGTAACTCGGCGGGAGCGAATTTTAAACCCCTGCTTCTGCGGTCAGTATTCTGATCAGTGTTACAAGACCAAAGTATTTCCCCCCCTCGTTCAAATCCAGTCAGGGCTTAGCCTAGATCACCGGCAGGCTTTTGGGGAATGCACAACCAGACCTCTTCTTTCCGGGCTTCTCACACCGGCTCTTTCATAGCCCAGAACACCTAGGCAGGCGGTGGGTGTGGCAGACGCCGCGCCTGACTTCTCCCAGAGGCTTGGGCAAACGCCAGAAGGGCTCATGGGCTACCTGCCCGGACTTTGCTTTGGACTTCCTTGGAGCCACCTGGTGGCAACTACTGGAGGACTCCGGGAGCTGTCTGGAACCTGTTAAAAGAGATTTCTTGGCCTGTACTTTGCAAAACGTTCTGACCATTGAAATCACAGTTCGTATCTTTTTGCATGGTGGATTTAATTCTTAGAACGGTGTTCTGTAAGGGACGACTCCCTCCCCAGAGTCTGCTTAAATAGAAAGCTTAAACAGAAAGGGGCGCTCTGCAGGGAACTCGGCCTGCTCAAGGCTTGGTTGTTCTGAAGGGGAGTCTTGCGGGGGGGGGAAGCTTATTGAGGTGAGGAGGGGGGGTGCAGGAGAGGGCCCGGTTGGTGCTTGCCCAGACGATGAGAAATATCTGAAAATGGGGGAAACCAGCTGTATTGACTATAGGAAAACAGTTGTCCTGTGTGATTCATTACAGGCGTTTTCCTTTGAAACGTCATTACTATTCTTTGCTCATTTAAGATCACAAATGTATGGAATAATCCCCCCCCCATCAAATGGCAAACGAGACCCAGGCCACATATTGCCCACCGTGCACTCAAAAGCCTTCTGCCCCGAGAAAATGAACTCTGAAGACGCCAAAGGAGCTGTAACTCCTGCTCGCCCATGGTTTTTGCCAGTCTGGAGGGGGTGGGTGGGACCTGGCTGGGGAATCAGTGTGACTGTTTTTAAAACGGAGCGTGGTTGAAACGTTTATGGCGACCCAAGAATAGCCAGGGTAAAGAACGCGTTTGCCGGCTTCCCCCAAATAGCCGTGAATTAGGATCTTGTAGATTTTTGTATCTGCTTAGGATGAAAATGGTTTGGCTTTAGCTGCGGGTTCGATTTGAGCTCGAACAGCTGCCGTTGCGCTCCAGTGAGGCTGTGGTGTTGGGGTGTGTGTGTGTGGAGCACTGGGTTGCAGTAGGGCAGCCAGGTGTTTCCTGCGTTTGATTCAGGGAAACTCCCCTTTTGCGCTTTAAAAGGTTCGCGCCTCATTCTTTCTTGGCCCAAGGAGACACCATTGGCAAGGAATCCCAGGGGGACCCATAAAGAATCAGCGGCGGAACCAGACATTCAGAACCCCCTGAAATGGCATCCTACCACCCCCCCTTTATTTCCAGCCTTTCACACAAAGCGAGTGTTCTTTTGCGAGTGCCATTCACGTGGGGGAATCCACACTTAATCTTAGTGTGTGAGATGAGCATACGCTTGTTTTCATTGCGTGTTACGTGCCATAAGGAGGGGCTGTGGCTCAGCGGCAGAGCATCTGCTTTGCGTGCAGAAGGTCCCAGGTCCTATCCCCGGCATCTCCAGATAAAAGGACCAGGTAGTAGGTGAAAACGGGTCTTCCCGAGACCCTGGGGACCGGCCGCCAGTCACAGTAGGTGATCCTGACCTCCGCAGACCAAAGGTCTGGCTCCGTAGAAGGCAGCCGCGTGTGTATATATGTTCACCCGACAAGGCTTCCTGCTATCAATGAAAAGAGAGGCGACCGTGTACAGACAAGATCAGCACCGTTTCCACTGTGAAAAGAATCTCCCTCCGGGAAACTTTGTCCTACGTGGATATCCCAGGTTAGCCCGATCTCAGAAGCTGAAACCGGATTGGCCCCGGCTGGTACGTGGATGGAAGACACCCCCCCCCAAAGGAAGCCCAGGATCGTTCCGTAGAGGCAGGCAATGGCAGGCCCCCTCTGAATGCCTTGTGCCTTGAAAACCCTACGGGGTTGTCACGAGTCAGGCGTTACCGGATGGCACTTTCCACCCCGATGTGAACAAAAGCCCTGTCTTCCTCACCCGGTTCATTTCAGAAACGGCGCAAGGCACACCCAACTTTGCATCGCCGTCCATTAACAATGGAGCTGCGGTGGCTCAAGTGGTTAAGACGCTGAACTGCAGGCTGTGGAAGGTTGGTAGTTCAGCAGTTCGAGACCCGAGTGTGCCGCATGACGGAGTGAGCTCCCGTCTCTAGTTCCAGCTCCTGCCAACCTAGCAGTTCGAAAGCAAGAAATTGCAAGTAGATAAATAGGTACCACTTCTGTGGGAAGGTAACAGCATTCTCTGCTTTGCGTGCAGAAGGTCCCAGGTCCTATCCCCGGCATCTCCAGATAAAAGGACCAGGTAGTAGGTGAAAACGGGTCTTCCCGAGACCCTGGGGACCGGCCGCCAGTCACAGTAGGTGATCCTGACCTTCGCAGCCCAAAGGTCTGGCTCCGTAGAAGGCAGCCGCATGTATATATGTTCACCCAACAAGGCTTCCTGCTATCAATGAAAAGAGAGGCGACCGTGTACAGACAAGATCGGCACTGTTTCCACTGTGAAAAGGATCTCCCTCCGGGAAACTTTGTCCTATGCGGATGTCCCAGGTTAACCCAATCTCAGAAGCTGAAGCCGGATCGGCCCCAGCTGGTACTTGGATGGAAGACACCCCCCCCCCCTATCAATGAAAAGAGAGGCGACCGTGTACAGACAAGATCGGCACTGTTTCCACTGTGAAAAGGATCTCCCTCCGGGAAACTTTGTCCTATGCGGATGTCCCAGGTTAACCCAATCTCAGAAGCTGAAGCCGGATCGGCCCCAGCTGGTACTTGACCCGGTTCATTTCAGAAATGGCGCAAGGCACACCCAACTTTGCATCGCCGTCCATTAACAATGGAGCTGCGGTGGCTCAAGTGGTTAAGACGCTGAACTGCAGGCTGTGGAAGGTTGGTAGTTCAGCAGTTCGAGACCCGAGTGTGCCGCATGACGGAGTGAGCTCCCATCTCTAGTTCCAGCTCCTGCCAACCGAGCAGTTCGAAAGCAAGAAATTGCAAGTAGATAAATAGGGACCACTTCGGTGGGAAGGTAAACAGCGTTCCCTGCGCCTTGGTGTTTAGTCATGCCGGCCACATGACCACGGAAACGACTTCGGAGAGCGCTGGCTCTTCAGCTTGGAAACGGAGATGAGCACCGCAACCCTAGAGTCGGACTCGACTGGCTTTCGAGCAAGGGACACCTTTACCTTTACCATTCACAATGCCCCCATGGGCATATATAGATATGGTTTTAATGCGCTTCACCTCCAAACCGCAAGCGACGTCCCCATTCCAAAGGGCAGCAGATGTTTCCCAAGTGCCTGAAGAGAGGTTGAAGGGTTTGGATGCTTTCTTTGCCCCCTCCCGCCCCAGTCCGTCTCCAAGCACAGGGTACGTTCCTTTCCTCCCGTGTAATCTCCTGAGCCATACGAGACTTCTGTGCAGTTAAAACGCCCGCTCTATAGAATATGATTGATTGGTGAACAGTTCCCCGTGGTTCACCTTCTGTTGGCAGATGGGCTTTTCTCCCCCAAACGCGAGGGCGCGATCCGGCTTCACTTCCGTAAGTGCACTTA